ACAAATAAGTGATTTTCATACTACTTCAAATGGTTCTGTTTTTTATTCTGATTGTAATGATGTATGCAATTTCTTTTCATGTGAATAAAATGTTGACTTGTTCTTCATCGTATACTGAGTCCAATCTTTGGCAAAAAAGACTCAGTCATATTTCAAATTCAAGACTGAAACTTATTCCACATTTAGCTGATTGTAATATAACTGAATGCATGGTTTGTCCTTTGGCAAAACAAACCAGATTGCCTTTCCCACATAGTCATTAGTTATAAAGTGCATTTTTGAGCTCATTCATGTGGATTCATGGGGTCCATATAAAGAGCTCACTCACAATGGTGCACAATATTTTTTAACTATTGTTGATGATTTTTCTCGTGCCACCTAGGTTTTTTTGATGTCTTACAAGTCTAAAGCCTCCACTTTGTTACAAAAATTCATTAAAATGGTTGAGCACCAATTTAAAACTCATGTCAAAAAGGTTAGATCTGATAATGGCTTGGAATTTCTTAACATTGACACCAAAAATTTCTTTGCATCTCTAGGAATAATCCATGAAACATCGTGTGCGTACGACGCATATTGAATATTGCTAGAGCACTTATGCATCAAGCTTTTATTCCTTCAAAGTTTTGGGGAGAATGTGTTAAAACTGCATCATATCTCATTAATAGAATTCCAACTCCCATTCTAAAAAACAAAACACCATATGAAATTTTATTTGACACAACTCCTTCAATAGATCATCTTAAGGTTTTTGGATGCCTTGCTTATGCTGCTAAACTCAATAATCATGATAAATTTTCATCTCGGTCCATTACTGGTGTATTTTTTGGTTATTGTATTACTCAAAAGGCATACATATTATATGATCTTGAATCTGAAAATTTTGTGTGTCACGGGATGTCATTTTTTATGAGTCTACATTTGCGTTTGCATTATCTACATCTAACAATCAATGCTGAATTCTACAATCATTTGCTATGGATATTGATACACCACTTTATCCTATACCTAATACACATGATTACCTTCTTATTGATACATCACTGGATAATACTGCTTCTCCACATACCACACAACCTGTACCACCAAATATTCCACTACAAGTTTCTGAATCATCAACATCTATATCTAACCATATTGTTCCTGTTCCCACATCAACACCAGCAGCCCCATCATTCCCCTCTAGACATTCTACTCGAGTATCCAAGCCGTCAATTTGGTCCAAGGACTATAAATGTCCTACTATCAAGTCAAACACATCCTTTTGTTCCATTAAATATCCTATATCCAATTATGTTTCTTATCGTAATATTTCTCCAACATATTTGGCTTTTATTTCTTCTTTTTCTTCTTTGGTTGAACCTACTTCATTCTCTGAAACTTCTAAAGATCCATTGTGGATAGAAGCTATGAAACATAAGAGTCAAGCTTTAGAAAACAATAATACTTGGTCAGTGGTAGATTTGCCTAAGAATCACAAGCCAGTCGGGTGTAAATGGGTTTATAAGATAAAATATAAGGCTGATGGTACTATAGAAAGGTATAAGGCTAGGTTAGTAGCCAAGGGATTTAATCAAAAGGAAGGGATTGATTTTAAGGAAACTTTTTCTCCTGTTGCAAAGATGGTGACATTACGATCTGTTTTGGCTTTAGCTTTGATTAAGGGCTAGTCTTTAAATCAAATAGTTGTATATAATGCATTTTTGCAGGGAGATCTCTATGAGGATGTTTACATGAAAATGCCTCAAAGTTTTAATTCTAAGGATGAGGCACATAAAGTTTGCAAGTTACAAAAGTATTTATATGGCTTGAAACAAGCCTCTCGGCAATGGAACTTGAAATTTAGTGCTGCTTTGATTGAAGGGGGTTTTCAACAATCCAAATATGACTATTCTCTTTTTATCAAAAAGAACAATGCTCTGTTAACAATTTTGCTTCTATATGTAGATGATATATTGTTGATAGGGGATGACTGGGTTGGCATTGAGCACATAAAGGCTTATATTCTTCAAAGTTCCATATTAAAGATCTTGGCACACTAAAGTATTTTCTTGGCCTTAAGATAGCTCGATTTGATCAAGGAATCTGCCTTAGTCAACACAGGTATGCCCTGGAATTGATCTCTGAAGCTAGTCTGAGTTCTGCCAAACCATCCAGCATACCTATGGAACAAAACTCAAAGATGACTAGTTTTGCATATGACAACAGTGATCAACAGCAGGTAGCTCCACTCCTTGATGAGCTTGATGTATATAAGTGGTTAATAGGTCGTTTAATCTATTTAACGATGACAAGGCCTGATATTAGTTAGCATATACACAAACCCAGACGATCACACCTTGCTACTGTCATGAAGGTAATCCGATATATCAAGTTGAATCCTGGCTTTGGTTTATTGTTTCCTTCTTTTAGTAAATTAGAGTTAAGGGCCTTTTGTGATAGTGATTGGGCTTCGTGCTTAATGAGTAGAAGATCTACAATAGGATTTCGTGTTTTTTTGGGTAATTCCTGATATCTTGGAAATCTAAAAAGCAAAAGACTGTGTCCAAGTCTTCTGTTGAAGCAAAAGATCGATCCATTGCAGCACTATCCTGTGAGCTTACATGGATTATTAGTTTATTTAGAGATTTGGGTGTTGAGTCATTAACCCTTGCCAATATGTATTATGATAACACTGCTGCTGTTCATCTCTCTGCAATCCTGTGTTTCATGAGCGCACAAAACACATCGGGATCAATTGTCACATTACAAGAGAACGGATCTTAGAAGGTCTCATCCAAATTCATCATCTCTCCACAACTGAGCAGGTTGTTGACTTGCTGACCAAACCTCTTAGTCGAAAACAACGTGACTACCTAGTTGGCAAGTTGGGCATGATTAATTTGTATTATGTACCAACTTGAGGGGGGATATTAAGTATATGTATTAAGGGATTAAGGGCGATTGTGTAATTTCTCTTTTACTTGTAAAAAGTTTGTAAAAGACTTCATTGTATTTGCACGGTGTCTTTGTGATGAATAGCAGAAACAAAATTTTCCCCTTTCTTCTCTCCAAACACGAATCCAACAAATTAGTTGCAAATTATCTTCTTTTGGCAACTAAGATTCTAGTTGCCAAATGTATGGTAAATTCTGCAAATCAATTTGGGTGCCCCATTTTCTCGCTTGAAATAAATTGAAATTTTGGGTATGTTATTTTTGCAACTAAAGTTATAGTTGTTAATAAGAGTTTTTTGCAACCAAAATGATAGCCACTAAATATTGTTTATTAAAAATGATATATATTACTAGTAACCAAAATCAATTAGTTACAAATAGGGCTGGTTAACGAACCGAGCCGCTCGCGAGCCGACTCGTTAACGGCTCGGTTCATCTGATAACGAGCCGGCTCGACTCGGCTTGTGAGACAAAATGAGCCGAGTTTGAGCCATACAAGGTTCGGCTCGTTAGGCTCGCAAGCCGGGCCTGGCTCGAAAAAGCAGGGGTTTTTTTGAGAATTTCTGAACCATTGGGATTTAATTGAAAATAATGCAAACAAGTTTTAAAAAATAACAAAATGGCCCCCGTTATTAAAATCCCCAAATTGCGAAAAATACGTCAGCAGTGGAACCCTTGCCGTAAAATTTGAATCAAACTCCTCCCAAAGTGTTGATTTTCAGCTAGATCTTGTTCATCTTCGTCAGCTTCGTCGGATATTGTTCATCTTCGTCGGACCTTAGGTAGTCGTTGGATCTTCATCATCGTTGTCATCTTCATCGGATTTTTGTTAGATTTGAAGTGGATATCGTTGGTTCGTCGTCATCATCGTCAAATCTGAAGTGGATATCGTCGGTTTGTCATCATCTTCGTCGAATTTTGGGTATGTTTGACTGTTTATTTAAATTGCTTTATTGACATTCAAATTGTTTGTGAATTGTCATTGTGGTTGTGTTGGACAAAATTTCAATTGCAATTTGTTAATGGTTGATTGGTTGTTATTCATAAATTTGTTTGTAGGAATTTGGTTATGGCGTTTTGCATTTGGTGGTGGGGGCTAGCCGACAGGAAGTTTATAAATGTGATTGTGGCTCGTTGTGGGAATGTGGTCCTACATCTGGTGGTGGGGACTGGGGGATTTAAAAATTTGTTTATGACTTGTGGGAATGTGTTGGTGTGGGGTAAAGAAAGAAGAGCCAGTGCCTTAAAGATGAGTAGATGACATTTGTGTTTGTATGTATTCATTATTGCTACAGAAAGTAAAATTTAATTGGGGCAAGTAATGTAAACGATAATATAAATGCCATCTAAGTTCCCTTGACATTAAAGGTCGCATGTTTACATTGATGCTCAAATCTCACTCAAAATGATTGCAAAAGTAAGACAGTTGATTTAGTAACCCCTTAGTGTTTGAACAATGGTGTCAAATGGTCCTTTTCCTGTCACATTGTGTTGAACCACAAATCCCAAGAATGCCAACATTGCCAATCTCCCTGCATATTCAAACATCATATATTATCGGCAAACATAAAATATTTCTCTGCAAAATAGTGATGTGCATGGCATGGCAGCACATAGCCCAAGACCAAGGCCCCATACTCAAGTCTGATTCTCATCTTTCATGCATGCACACAAGTGTTGTGCGGCCACATTGCTCAATCAAATTCAATTTATGTACCCTTCCAATTTATTTACATAAATGAAGTTTATATATGCAACTTTAATGAATCCAAAATAGAACATGTTAAATTCTAAATATTATCATATTCATAAGTTATCATGTGAGTTGCAAATGAAAGTGAGACAAATTTCAAAACATAACATGTGAAACTTAATCAAACATGATACAAAACCAATGTCTCTAATTAAAGAATAAATGAATGTTGGGATGTATTGTTGACAATTAATATTGGTGTGCAATGTATAATGTGTTGGTTTGATGTGTGTGCAATGTAATAGTTTGTCATTATTTTATATTTGTTTTGCATTAAATTGTTGATTTTTTTTTCATTTATAGGTTTGTAAATGGAGGGTAATTCCTCAAGTACCCCTGCAATACAAGATACAATTACTAATACACCTGGCAGTAACCTTAACTTGAATGCAACCACTACTAATATGGAGCAAAGTATTAGTAGCAATGGTGATGAAAATCAAAATCCGATTCAAAAGCAAAAAAGAGCGAAGACTTCAGTGGCATGGTCGGAGTTCAAGGAGATGGTACTCCCTAATGGCACCAAAAAAGCTGAGTGTATCCATTGCAAAGTCAAGTTGTGTATTAATGCCACCGGAAGCACCACCCAATTCAATAGACATTTAAGCCAGTGTTTAAGGAGAAAAGCTTCCATGGGGCAACAACATATTAGTTTTCCGAGTGCCGGTAATGATGTTCCAACTACTATTTTGCCAGCTTTAAGTGGGAAGTTTGACATGTCGAAAATGAGGGAATTGATCACCCATTGGGTGCTTATGCATGAGCATCCATTTACAGTTGTGGAGGAAGAGGGCTTGAACAATATGATAAAGTATGGGATTCCTGGATGGACTCCGGTTTCCCGCCATACTTGTAAAAAAGATTGTATGAAGGTATATGAAAGTGAGAAGGCCAAATTGAAGACTTTGTTGAAGACTGTGACAAAAATCAGTTTGACTACAGACTTATGGAATTCAGGGAATCAAAAGATGGAGTATATGGTGTTGACCAGGCATTGGATAGATAGTACTTGGAGATTGAATAGATGTATCCTTAACTTTGTTCGTCTACCTCCTCCCTAGACTGGTATTGCGATTGCGGATGGCATTTTCAAGTGCCTAATGGGATGGGGAATTGAAAATAAGGTATATACTATTTCTATGGATAATGCTTTAAGTAATGATGTTGCGATTAAGGTTTTGAAGGAAAATTTTGAAGTTTTTGGGAAACTCTTTTTTGGAGGTAATCTGTTTCATGTGAGATTTTGTGCACACATCTTGAACCTGATTGTTCAAGATGGACTTCATCAAATTAGGCACATCATTGATGACATCTATGAGAGTGTGTTGTACATCAACAGTTCAGAAAGCAGATTCAAGGTATTTTCTAAGATTGTTCAACAACTTAAATTGTCGTATTGGAAACTTATTCTTCATTGTAAAACAAGGTGGAATTCTACCTATGAAATGTTAGCAATGACAATTAAGTTCAAAAAGGTTTTTCCAAGAGTGAAAGAGAGGGATATCAATTATCATAATAATCCGAGTGATGAGGATTGGGAGAAAGTGGAGAAAGTTTGTGAAGTTTTGAAAGTATTCAGTGGTTCAACCAAACTCATTTCAAGAAGTGATTATCCGACGTCTAATTTATTCTTGAAGGAGGCGTGTGTAGTGAAATGTATGTTGGATAGTAAAAGTGAATCTGAAGATGATTTTATTAGAGTAATGTTTATGAAATGAAACAGAAGTTTGATAAATATTGGGGGGAATGTAATGTGTTGATGTCTGTGGCTGCTGTATTGGATCCTCGGTTGAAAATGAAGGTTATTCAGTGGGCATTCCCTAAGATGTATTCTGAGACAGAAGGACGGGCAAATATGGTGACGGTCCAGGATGCATTGTATGAGTTATATGGGGAGTATGTTCAAGCTAACCAAGGTGTGACTATTGCCCGTGCTTCTACATCACAAGGGGATGGACATGGAGCCATTGGTCAGGTGGCTGCGGTTGAGGGAGCTGAGGCCTGGGATGAATTTAGCACTTTTCTGGACATGGTTGAAACTGTTGAGCCTAGTCAATCTGAGTTGGACTGTTATTTGGGAGAGGGATGCCATAAGTGTGTAGGGGATCATGACTCATTCGATGCCTTACAATGGTGGAAGGCAAATTCAACCAAGTTTCCTGTATTGTCTATGATGGCTCGAGAAATACTAGCCATCCCGATCACTATGGTTGCTTCAGAGTCTGCATTCAGTGCTAGGAGCAGGGTTATTGATAGTTATCGAGCTTCTTTGTCACCAGCTACGGTGGAGATGTTGTTATGTGGATGTGACTGGTGTCGCACTTTGAATGGAGTAAAGAAAGAGTGCAAAGTAAGTTGCATTGCTTACATGTTTTGTTTAATTCTATATTTAAAATAACTTTATTCTAACCTATAGATTATTTTTATCTCTTTTTCATCTTAGAAAGAGGAGGATGAGGATCACTTGGAGATTTAGCTTCCTATTCTATCAGGTGATGGGAGTCAGCAGATTGGTTGATTCACTCGTGAGTTATTGGTTGTGGCAGTAGGATTCTGCAGGTCTATATTTATTACTTTTGTGTTGAGGTTTGCATTTTCATCTTTACGGTTTATATAAAATGACAATTATACTTAATATGTTTCACATTAATTTGTTTGTAGGAGGAGTGGGGCTACAATAGACATACAACCAATTATCTTTTGCTATTATTGATGGATGGGGATGTCACTTGATTTATAGTTATGCTAATCCCCCATTTTGTTTTTGTGAAAACTTTATTAAGTCAAGTGAACTAAACAAAAAATATTTAGTTCACTTAACTTAATTTGTGGTACATACAGTATGTTAAATGACAAATTGTTAATTGCAGTAGCATTTCATTTAATGTTGATTTTAAGTAGGTTTAACTGTTGGGTGATGTATGAGGGCATGAGAAGACATTCAGACAATCAGATTCAGACCTGCGTGCTGCCCAGCAAATTAAAAAACAATAAATGAAAAGTGAAAATTTAGCATTTGGAATTTATTTTGATTGTTTGAGGATGGCGAAAAATAATTGAATCAGTTTGACAAAATAAATGAAAAGTGAAAAATTTAACAAAATGCATCAGACATTAGTAATTCTTCCTCTACCCAGCAAATTAATGAAAAGTTAAATTATGATTCTTCAATTTTAAGCCCTTCTAAATTCGCCTGCCATATTTCAATATTGTAAACTAGATTTTCTCATTGTCAATATTGAACATGATTCAGCTTCAAAATTATTTGGAGATGGCTGCTGCCCAGACAAAGTTAAATTATGATTTGCATTTATTTGAATTTCAAACATTGGAGAACAAAGAAACGCAAGCCAACAGAATTTGAAGAGCCCTCTACCTTTGAAGAATGAAGAAAATAATATTAAAAAATGATTTTGATTTTTTATTGATAAAATAATAAATAATTTAAACAAAAGAAAATGGAGGTGGGCAGTCAGATTGCTGCCCACCGAATTTTTGTTAAAAAAATTGAATAAAAAAAACAAAATTATTTGGAGATGGCTCGCGAGCCGGCTCGAAATATGTCAGATCCATTATCGAGCCGAGCCGAGCCACATAGTTTCTGGCTCGGCTCGGCTCGGCTCGTTTACTCTTCCTCTCTCACGAGCCGAGCTCGTTAAGCCGAAAACTCGGCTCAGCTCTGGTCGGCTTGATAACACCCCTAGTTACAAAAAGTTTGGATATCAAAATTTGATAGTGGCAATTACAACATTAGCTGCAAAATGTTATTTTTGGCAACTACTAAAATATTAGTTGCTATTGGTGGCCTACAAAACATGAAAGTTAGGAATGGTGACTAAAATTGTTTGTTACAAATAACTAATCAAATAAATAAATGCTTATGTTTTTAGAAACAATTACTAAAAGGCCATCCTATGTAAACCCAAATTTAAAACCAAATCCCTAATACCCCAATTTCCCTATTCTTACCCGCGTCCTCTTCTTCTCCACGCACTCCAATTTCCCTCTTCGCTTTACCATCTCCTCGAATCTACTATTCTTACCCGCGTTCTCTTATTCTCCACGCACTCCAATTTCCCTCTTCACTTTACATCTCCTTGAATCTACTTTTGCTACTATTGATGCTAGTTTTTGACACCAACTAATTGTCACGTGCGTATTACTGATTGGTGGATTAACACGTGATAATGAATATACGAAGTGAAATAAATGCAGAAAAAGCTTTTAAAATGGTTCGGATGCTAAGGTAGCAAGTCCTACGTCCACTGATTTGTATTGATATTAGTGTGGGTCAGGTCGCAAAGCGGACTGACTTACAGAGGAATTATGAAAAGTAAATATGTTTACAGGAGAGAGAGAGTCTTTGTAAAAATGGTCGAATCCCTTTAATGAAGGGGTCTTCCTCATTTTATATCAAGCTGAAGCGTGTAATTATCATTAAATCCATGGGTTGGTGTGATTGTCAGGATATAATCCGGTTTTATGTCCCATTGCTCTCTTCCCAAGCTGATTTCGCATGATTTATTGCAGGGGAAAGGGACTCGTGTGAGCTCCATATCATGTAGCAGGTCTGACGTGTGCGTGTTGCTCTGACGGGAGCAGGTCACTCTTCACGTGACTTTCCCACGTCAGCCCTTATTTCCCCAGGCATAACAGAATCCCCCTAGTTTCTAAGGTTTGAGGATCGAACCTTGGAAACTAAGTCACATCTGAGATTCTAGTTGCCTCGACCTGAATGGGATGAGCTCGACACAGGACTCTTGGCGAACACGATCTCGCGCAGTTCCTTGCCTAAGCGACCTGACAATCTTCAACCTTGCGACCTGGATCTGATGGACGCTCCTTTCTGTACCTTAGAGATTCAATGAACCTGGTTCTGCGCTGTCAGGCGCTCTGCACGCGTTAAAGCGTTTGTCAGACACATTAAATGCGTTGTGTGCTGGCCCGACGCTGTTTTGATAGCATTGGTTATGTAACGCATTCGAAACGACGACTCTTATCACGGCACTTAATGCGACGTGGGGCGCATTTAATGCGGGGAGAGAGAGAGCTGTCGTTTCGGTTTCGAGGGGTGGTAACCGTCGATTCGCAATCCATATAAAAACTTGTATTTTTCAGATGAGGTCACCGAAATTTCTTTCGCTTCGAGTGACAAACCTTTGCAAACCAGGAACCATTCTCTTCCGATCGGCGCTTTTCAGGCAACCGAAACGAATTTCGGCCTCAGCTTCGCATCCCAAAGAGTAAGGTTCTCCTTTCCTTTGTTCATTTTGCACTGGTTTGGATGGACCATGGGGTTGGGTCTCCAGGTGTTTCACCGGGGACGTGACGCCGTCATTGGATTCGAGTCGTGGATGGCGGCTCGAGTCACTGCTAGGTTTTAAGAATTTATCCCCTGCCACCGCACGGGACAAACACGAAGGCCTAAATGACCGTGTCTGTCGATGTTGCAGACTGGAATGGAACCGTCAACATCCAGACCCGAGGAAGGAGCCAGCTCGTCCTCGTGGGAAGTTCCCGAGGACGCAGCCCTTGATGTCTACTCGGTTCTCACCTCTGAGGAATATAATAGAATAAAGAGGCAGTTTGACATCCGCGCGGAGGTGTTCCTCGAACACACTAGACCGTCACGACGCCCGGCCGATGGCCTTGCCGCGATCTCTGAAGAGATCTTCAAGGGTGGAGGGAGGATTCCCTTCCATCCTTTCATCAGGTCGGTCCTGGATCATTTCGAGATCGTACCAATGCAGTTGACGCCAAACGCGTACGTCATCGCTGTCGCGATGTACATTGCGTGCTGCGAGAGCGGCTTGGGAGAGCCGACGGCGGTGGAGCTCGGCGTCGCCTACTACCTTAAGAAGAGTAGGGACAAGGACTCGTACTATTTGTCTCGACGACCTACCATTGTCGCGGGGATACACAGCTATCCCAGCAATGCGGGGGCCTACGAGACAAAGTTTTTCTTTTTCTTTTATAACGGCTACTGCCGTTTTCAGGATCCAAGTAGGTTTTCTTTCGCTGGGTTCATTATCTGCTCGCCTGATCCATAATAACGACCTGTTTTCTTTTGCAGTTAATAGAACGACCGAGCAGGCGCTACTCGCTGACCCAGACAGGCTTGTATCATTCGGAGTACTGGACGAGGAGAGTCGTGACGCGAGGAAGCTTGTGACAACCGCGAACTTGCGGAAGTACGGTTTTTTCAGCGACAAGGCGTCGTTAGAACCCCTAGAAGGTAAGTTATGCCGGTTCCTTTCTGGTCGTAGAATAAGTTGGCTTACTAACGAACTTAAATGCAGAGACCATGCCCCCAAAGGAGTCCGGGCAGCCCCGCCGAGCACCATTCGTCTTCCCTCGATCGAGGAGAGAGAGGGCGGCCGAAGCTGCCCGTCCCATTCCGGCACAGCCGCTGCGAACTTCTGCGCCTTCGCAGCCCCATCCTGTGCAAGAAGCGACCAGGACGGAACAGGTCGCTCAGCCACCATCTGCTCACCCAAGGCGGAAGGCTCTGGTCCAAAGGTCCAAGAAGAGGAAACAGGTCCAGGCCGAAGAGTCTGAGACCGAATCCGAGGAGGAGCCTCTGAGGACGCGCTAGGAATCCAGGAGGTCGGGCAAGGAGCCCGTGAGCGAGGCGGCCGCTGCCGGCAAGGCGAAGGACGCACCAGTTCTAGACTCATTAGAGAGTCTGCCCGAGCACCTGCAGCCGATAGTCTATGGCCTGCTCGAGTGCGAGCTATCGGAGTCCATACGACGAGTTCGCTGACACGGGCGATGACTGATGACCAGGTCGTTCCAGCATCGAGCAAGGTAAAGAGCTGGATTTGAAACTTCATTTGATTTATTTCTAACTCTATCTTGCTCGCAGCTTACTTGGATGAGGATGGCCATGGAAAAGACCGGCTGGGGCCGCAAAGGGGACAAGCGACCTGAGGAGGAGGTCGCGAAGCTGGAAGCAGAGCTTGGAGTCCGTCGAAGCGGAAGAACACAAGCGTTCGAAGCGGCGAACAGGTATCTGAACCAAAAGATGCCGCTTTACAACGGTGGATTTCCAAAAGACGGAACTCGACCGACGTGCGGAGGAAGTTAAAGAACTTCAAAGGACAACCGCCAGCTCTCCAAGGAGTCGGAGAAAAGGACCAGGAGATCCAGCGACCTTCGAACGGGCTCACGAGCTAACAAGACAGTGAGGCCTCCGAACAAGAAAGCAGCTCTTGAGGCCGAACTCCAGGAGTAGGAGAAAATCGCTTCCCTAACTGAAGAAATGCAGAATCAGTCAGAGGAGCTGGAAGAAAGGCCGCAACTGGGCAATCGGGTCTATTTACTCCCTGCGAGCAAAACCCAGATTGGACATGTCCGACCTCCCAGGTTGGCAAGCACTTTGCGGATCATGCCGAGAGGATGATCAAAGCCGCGGCCGTCCAACACCGACCAGCAGGGGGTTCTGGATCAAGATCCCCCGACCAGCCTTAGCGTAAT